TGTGTGTGTGTGTGTGTGTGCGTGTAGTGTGTGTGTAGTGTGTGTGTTCGGGAAACGAGTGCATTTTGTCACTCACTTTCATCTCAGCAACCAGGAGAGCTGGAAAGCTGAAAATTTGGATATATGTTTCTACCCCGCCTGTCATCCTCCGGTTTTAAGGTCTTTCCCTATACATGCCTAGACCCCGCGTACGGGACCCCCAAAGAAATATGTTGACGGGAAACGATTTTGCGGACCAGGCAACGTAAAAAGTTGAAACTTTGCAGAGATATTCTCTATGCACGTGTGAGATAAAAATTTTTAACTTAGTTCTCTAACCACAGCCTTAAGCAACTCCTCAACCCACAAATCGTTTGCAGCTCGGACCTTAACCGCAATCGTATATGTAAATGAACGTGGGTTTTTTGACAAACGACCGCTTGAACAATACTTTCACCTTTTAGTGAACTGAAAACTTGCATTTTTTCAAAAAATTTACATTTGTTATTTTTTTCACAAAACGAGCATTTGCCAAAAAAACGACCGGAGTCCATGCAATAAACTGGTAATCATGCACCTGGATGTCCATGCGGCTCTATAACGCACCACCTTCATCCCAACTAACGCTTTTTCTCCTGCATGCCAGGAGGATCAAAGCACGGCCAATATGAGCCCAAGTGTTAGACTACAGCGTAGGGATCATTCTTGCTAATAGTGACCTGCGAGTTTAGTGCAAAAACGCATGATCGCACCGGAGAGCCTGGCGCGTTCCATCCTGGGTTATTTACTTGTGACTATAGATCCAACCGCCTGAATGAAACAGTGGGAAAATTGATTTTGCGCACTGAACGTGATCATGATGCAGATGAAACGAGGCGATAATTTCCCGCTTTATTTTGATGAAACTGAACTACCAAATTTTGCTCATTTTTTCGATCATGCATGAATTCGAGGAATGGAATACCAAAAGCGACCAAAACGTTTCTGGGCTGAATCAACACCTAAACTGACTTAAAAGCAAACATTTACTGCACAAAACTGTGCAAAAACGCATGCTTATGCCAACTCCGTAGTGGGCACTTTGAATATTATGAACGTCTCTGCGTTCCACCGTTAAACTGATTAGACGTCGATGTAAAAACAACCGTTACAGGACGCAGTGAAATTGAATCTGAAACAAACTTATCGGAAGGTGAATGAATTTCCAACTTCAACATCAAGGATCGATAACTACGACTTGTACTGGCGAGGTAGGCAAGTCTGTTGACGTGCAGTGTACTTTTTTACTATTTTCTTTTATCATTTGTAAAGCTTTTTACACGTTTACAGCCTTTGGAACTCTTGAGAATAATTTTTCCCTCGCATTAGCATGGAGTGATGCCCTACCCATTAGCAAAGAAGCATTTTCCAACGAGCGAATGCGTCCTAAGTGTAGGTTCAGTCTATTAAGCACTTGTTCTTAGCCGTTTTTAATAAGAAAAATGTTGTTTGGATTAGTAAAAAAAGAGAT